TTTAGTAAGCAATACTAGCCAAGTCAAATAAATACTCACGAAAAACTTTGAAAATTTGACAAACACGTAAAATGTTTGAATAAAAATTACTTTTAGAAATTTTTCAAAAAATTTTCTTTCATAATTAAAATTAAATCTTAGATCAATAAAAATAGCAAGTAATTAAAATAGTTTTTCTATAATTATGATCAGAAACAGTGTCAGGGCAAATGTTGTATACGAGAGAAACCGGTTAAAAATAAATGTTTATTCCTTAACGTATTGTAAAGACGCTATTATTGCTTAAAAAATATAATGCTGATCATACGAATACAAAACACTTTGCAAAACTCTATTAATTTTTGAATTTCAAACAACCATTACAATAAAAATTTTTTTATAAATTTATTAAAATGGTGAGATATAGAGGAAACAAGTTTAAGTATTTTGAAAAAACAATAGTTTTATCGATCAAACTGTGTTTATTTATTACCACTGATAGTTTCTTCATAGATAATTAGCTACATATATAAATATGTATATTTCTTTATGTCTATTTCATAAATTTCACATCATAGTGTGTATCCAAGTTCTGATTTAATAAAAGATATAAATAGTGAAAAATACTGTCCAAAAGTTTCAAGAATACCATCACTTTAAAAATGTTTTAAATAAAAATAATTTTTTTTTAAATGATACTTCGAACGTAATAATACATGTAAGTTATATGGAACATCCTGTGCAGGCTGTTTTGGAGAAAAGAATTTCAAAAATTGTTGTAAAATAAATAAGACCTGACAAAAATTATTAATATTTATGATGATCCAACTGTTGCTACAACGTAAGCTTATTAGGGTATACCGAAAATTCAAGAGTGCACGCCTTTATCATAATATAAAGTGCCAGTGGCACGATGCAGAAAAAATTATTCAACACAGAACATAATTTATGCAGGGTTTGTATGACAAAAAAATTAAGGAACATCGTCAAAAACCATCTCTCCCTTTCCCCCTTAATCCAATTAATTACACATTACAAGGCGTGTACGACACACAACTCCCTTTTTGTGTATCAATATATACGTATACTGATATTCTCACGTGAACATGTGGAAAGGATGGCTTTTAATTATGCGAGAAAAGCGCAATTTCGCCAAAGTGTCACGGGCAGGCGAGTGAGTTAAGGCCCATCTTCTCGTTAATTGCAAAGCCGATAAAAACCAAGAGATAATGATCGGTATGATTTTTATCCATCATCCACGCATAAAAATTCATAAATTTGAAATTGGATGCCTGTTCGTGAAAAAAAGGCTGCCCGGCAAAGGGAAAAAGAGGGGAGTGACGTTTGGCCCGAGGCCTGAGCGATGGTTTCCTGGAAAATGTTTGATATTTTGTGCTCGTAATGTTTTTTTTTTCTGTTTCCTCGGTCCTTTTTTTATTTATTGCTGTACTTTTTCTCGAGTCCGAGGGTAGTTCAAAGATCGTGTACGTCGATCGTGTCCTTCGCGCAGCGTACAAGCAAGAGGTGTACACGCGTCTGGGCTCTTGCAACGCTAATTTATTGGCCTGTCTCTGGGACACGCGCGTGGAAAGGAGAGAGGGCGGCTCGGGGTTCGTTTTGACGAGATTATGCGCTGAAAACGGTAAAAGCGAGATCGTCCGGATGATCCGGGGAGTCGGCGGTCCTTTGGGCCATCAGCTTGCTGCCCTTGTTTCCTGCGCGTGACAGTGTTGCGGGAATTTTTCTTCTTCTTCTTTTTTCTTGTTGTTTCCTTCGATTTATGAATATGCAAGTGGGCATTTGTGCTTCTTCGGGGAGACAAAGTGCATCCCGTGTTGTTCTGATGCGCATGAGAAATTTACATGCTCCATGAATTTTTCTTACATATTCATAATCAAATGATAATAAATACATTTTTTTAAATAATTCATTACTATATGGTTTCATCTTACTTATTATATATTCTTTTTCCGTAGAAGGATTGAACAAGCAGGAACGAGATGATTGATTAAAAAAAAAAAAAAAAAAAAAATCAGTGTCCAAACTATACTCCAAACTGCTGCGCATCACTGCTAAGTTTCAAAAGGCGTCTTACAATTGGGATGCCAATTAAAAGCTATGACAATTATCTTCATATTGAAAGTATTGAATTTTTTATGAAATGAAATTCGCAAAAATTATTTAAAATAAAAAACACTAGAATTGACTTGATGGGAGAACTCTTAAGCGCATGACTGGCTGAGACCTTAAGCCCAGATGATTGTGCTCCATCGACAGTTCCGGAGCATCAGCCGATAAATAATCAAATGGAGCCCTTGCCTTGGCCGAAAAAATATTATCGTTTCACCGCGGAATGCCAGGGCTTCCTTCGAAGCCACTTGTTGGCGTGTCAACTCCATCAGCAGAGGAGAAACAAGTCACCCCGTGCGCGTACAGAGACTCTCGAGACGATCAGTCCCGGGCGAAAGAAAAGTGGACAAAGAGAGAGAGAGAAAGGAGAGAACGACGCGGATCCCAAGCATCTGTTTGGGCATCTTTGTGCCAACGCGGCGCATTACGCGTATAATGGCCGGGCGTGTTGATTTTTTGACTTAGCGCTGCGCCCCGCGTGCTGGCTGCCGTTGCTCCTGGATTGAAGGACCCCATTGAAGGATTTCTTTGCTGATGCTTTCTTCCCTGCGTTTATTGTTCGGCGGAGAAGTCTGTTCTTTTGACCTTAGTGGATGGATGAAAAAAAAAAAAAAAAAAAAAAGGATACTGTCGAGTGCAACCGGAGCGTCTTGTGTATATTTTTTGTATTTCCAAGTGATGGATGCCTGAAAAGGAAATTGATCATTTTTACGCTCTGTAGGGTCTTTTTTTTCATTCTTTTCTTCAGTGGGAAATTTTATGCCTCGATCGATGCAATGTACCATTTTTTACCATAGATGTTCATTCCACGGATGTGTTGAAAATTAAATTAGGAGTGAAAAGACGGTGTTTGTTGCTTTTGTTCGGTTCAGTTTGTAAAATGGAAAGGAGCAAACATTCAATTGTTGTCTCCGGCTTTTATAGTTATGGAAATTTATAACGGGGCCGGCAACAAGCGTTGATGGTTTTAATGGACCCCGTTCAGAATCGAGCCACTTAGAAACTTAAACTCTCTCATCTGAGATCATCGAAAACTGATTGGATGATTACTGTGATCACGCGAGGCTCTTTAATACAATTATTTTTTTTTTTTCGTGATAAAATCGGCATGATGTACCATAAAAAACGAAATACCGTAAGATGATTCAATCAAAACGGAGTACCGAGTGTCAAAAATACATTACTCAAAGTGAGATCAAACTCCTATAACGGATAAAAGCTTACGCGTCAAAATATCACACTCGACATTATCGTCCTTCGAAGACACTTCCTCTCTTTCCTCGTGATTCCGTTAAAGCAGTGCATGATGTCCTATGCACACTCCCAAGTGACGATTTTTCCTTGAACCATTTCCAAAAAAAGTGTCAAGCCATTAGGCAACTCTCGAGGGAAGAGACCAGAGAGCACGTATATTTTATGGAGCGACCGCGTATAGACTGTAGGCGCTCGCCTAATTGCCACCCCGGGAACGGAAGAGAAAAAGGAAGCGAGCCGAGCGTTTTTCCCCGGAAAACCTTTGCTCGCGCGTGCTCTCCATTGCCGAAACCCATGATAGATGCGCGCACGGGCATTGTATACATTTCTCTCTAGACGTTAAAAACAGTTATACGATTTCAAAGCCCCCGCTGCCGGTGTTGGGATGCGTCGAGTCATCTGGGCCCTGTCGGAGAGCACCTCCTCAAGGATGATAATGCGATACGTGTCTCGAGGGGAGTCGGAGCTTAAGGGGGGTGCTTTTGGTGCTTGCCTCTTGTCTTTTGAACTTGGTGGCACTGGTGCGCCGATGAATAAACAAATAACATACGCATATGTGGGTTTTCATCTCGTCATTCCGGCTGATGGCCACTTTGCGTTTTCGGCTCGCTGTTTGCTTAGTCTCCTTCTTTTATTTTTCTTATCTTCTTCGTTTTTTGGAATTCGTGGGTGGGAATTTGGTGGTGTCTTGGAGTCAAATGTGTGTTTAACTAAATCCGGGTGAAAAAATAGGTTTGATTTATTACATACTTGAGGAAAAATATTTTAATATTTTTATTGAAAATTCAAAGATTTGTTTGAAAGTCTTTGGATGATTTGATAAGATCTAGTACGTAGCTGTTACGAACGATTTTTCAGTGAATTATTCGTACTATTACAAGAATTTTTAAGTGTTTGCAATAATAACGATTTTTTTATTTATATTCCACCATTTGTATCTTTAATTGTGTTTTAACACACATGTTGTGTCTACCATTATAATAAGAGGTTGGTACGCTTAATCATGGTTTTATAAAATAATAATAACAATACGAATAATAATTTAATTTGGATGGTTAAATTACAACGAATTTCTAATGTTTTAGGTATCAAAAGTAAGGTTTCACGTATAAAATAACAACAGAGCCGAGAGTCTTCACTATTTTTCTTATAATTTATTTAATTATATACATATAAAAATACTTATTTCAGCAATAGCCACAGTTAAAAAAAAAAAAAAAGAAAAAAAAAACGTAACGTACAAAAATAAACCGCAAGTGGAATTGCTTCCATCGTTTTTGGTCTTCCAACATTTTCATTATGTTAAATGCTCATGCAAACATGAATTCTAATTGCTAAACATCTTTTTATTATGCTAAGTACTTCTACCATCAGTTAAAACCATAATACTCGATTATATCGTATCTGCCACATTCTCTAGACTTTACATATTTCTCACGTTACAATCCAAGCACTCACGATCTAAAACAACTGATAAACAAATGGATCACTCGAGTAAAAGCTATGTCTTTCTGTAAACAATCGATTTATCTCTAAGAGTCTCCAAAAAAAAAAAAAAAAAAAAAAAACGACTTTCTAGGGCGCTGTTGTGTGTCAACCCAATCACACNAAAAAAAAAAAAAAAAAAAAAAACAGCATCAAGCGGCCACGCTCCTAGCTTGCTGCTGAGGTGCATTATTTGGAGCTCGATTTTGTCCATCACTCGCCATCATCTCAACGCCCGTGATCCAGGCAGTAGTTCCCCCGTTGTTAGCGTCAGCTCGGCGATCCGGCGAAGCTGCAGAATTTTCGGGCTCGATTTTGTCGGCAGCGTAAATTAGACGTGCCGCGTAGCAGAGCAGAAGCATCTCAATTACCATCAGGGCGTCGTAGGTCACTAGAATACAGAAGACAGAATATAATTTTATGCAAGTGTCAAAGTATGACGATGTGATGGACAATGAGAAATCGTGTGGGTTTATACTTTTTAGGGCAAGGTTATTGTACGTGCCAAAAAAAAATAGAGAACAACTTTTATTGTAGTGTTATTGGATTATTACTAGATAAATTAGTGAAGATATTTTGAATTGTACAATTTTTTTAAGGAAAATAGTAAAAAAGTGGTGCCATGTGTTCAATATAATGTCTTATGATGCCTAGTGCAGTATCTATTGCCTTATATAAAATTAATGCGTTATTAAACTGCTCTATTTGGGCTTGAAAATAAATGCTTGGTAGAGTAAACTTATTTTTTCCATTTTACTGCAATATCGTGGGTGCTGAATTTTTTGTATTTTTACAGAAATCAACTACATCATTGGCAGTAAAAATTATTGCAAAATTCTCTGAACCAATTGTTAAATATATAGGGCACAAATTTTTGTTTTTTGTACTGCAATGTAAGAATAAAAAAAACAAATATTCAACAAGCAATCATCCAAACGCTACTTCGTCCCCAACAAATGCGAAAGTTGTCATTACCTACTCCGAGTAAATATCTTTTTCAATCAAAAATAAAAAAAAAAAAAAAAATCAGAGATTGAAAACCACGACGGATACAACCACTAATAACATACTCAAGAACAAAAAAAAGCCGGCACTTTTTCGTGACGTAACAACACTTACCGTTTGCGTAAACGTGGGGCGTGAGGGGCGGGTCGCAAGGAAAGAGGCCGGTGCCGACTAGACTCTTGATAATGAAGCCCTGCAGCTTCGAGAACAGCAATACCAGCTGCACCACCAGCGTTTTCGACGGCAAAGCCGCTTCTGCGAGAAGGAAAAGAAAAAAGAAAAAAAAGAAAAAATTGAAGACGATACCATCTGAGGTCAGAGTACACACGCTGCACGACTTCCTGCTACACGTCGTATCCTCTTTTTTTATTCTTGTTTCACAAACGTACTCGTACGTATACGAGCAAGTACAGCTCGAGGGTAGAAGAAAAAAGGAGGGGAGAGAAGATGAGCTGCGTGTGGTCCGCTCACGCGATCGTGTCGCGATCGAACGCGCGTATCGTGTACATCGCGAGTTTCGATGATTCCGTGCGCGAGGAAAACCCGTTGGCTTTCTTTTACTTTAACGCGTGTGGGCTCGGGGTAATTTTGGCAAAATGGGGAGAACCGACTCGAATTTTCATGTTACTTTTGACGCAAAACATTCGCCCGATCGGTGGATGGGCAATCATGAAATTATCAGTGCAATTTTTTGCCCGCTGCCGCGTGGATGAACACGTCGAGGCAGAGTAGATAGAGGGGTGGGGCTCCGGTCGATTTTCGTGCCCCGAGATGTTGTGAATGCACTTGCAAGTGAGTCGTCTGGAATATCGACGTGTGCGTCGTGTCTTTTGAAGCGTGCGTTTTTTTTTTTTTTTTTTTTTTTGGGCTACTTTTTTCGCTCGAGTCGACATTATCATTTGCACTTGGATGCGTTTTCGGGCATATACATGTAAGTGCAGCATTATTTTGATGAAAAGGTAAGGGGCCGAAATTATGCTTTTCGGTAGGAAAAAGTTATTACGATTGAATATTACGTCGTTAAAATGCCGTGATTGGTTTGAATTACCTTGAAAATTATTTGGAAGGAAAAAAAAACGAACGAAAATTTCGATACTCAGCAGAGTGAGACACGTTTTTATGTCGGGCAAATTGAATGTCAATTACACAGTCCCACCAAAAAAATTTCTCGGTGAACTAGACTAGGCATTCTCTTTGCGTTTAAGGTCAAAATTGATATTTTCACGCAATCACTTTACTTATAACGTTGTTAAGAATCAATCATCAACGTGTGATGTTGTTCAAGTTAAATTTTTTAGATCAATGCCTGATAAAGCTACTTTAACGTGTTTTGGTTAAAAAAGTAATTTAATTGAAAATTTTTGTAAAATAATGGCTCTTTGAAATTTTGGTTAAAGAAGCAGTCAATTTTTTTTATTTAATAACTCCATAACGGTAGGTAACGTCTTATTTTCTTAGAATTACATTATGTTGCATCCACGTTATTAGAAAAAAAATTCTTGTAACTAGCTGCTTCCTTAACCAATTCCTGATATAGCTGTTTCTATTATCTATTTGTCGATATTAAAAGAACACAGATGCTGATATTAGACAATTGTTAAGGTAACAATATCAAAATAATGTTTAACCATGTTTGAACTACATCATGTGCTCTTGACTTGTTGTGTATAGTCCAGTTTTTCTTCGATATGATTCATATTAGCTCTACTTATTTGAGATCTAAGAGCTCTCTTATTGTTTTGGTTTCTGTAGTAATCTGTCAACACGAGGTCTTTATCGGTCACAACGTATGCTAAGCTATAAGTAATTTAATGTCAGGGACGTTTATTGAGAAACCGAATGGACGTATTAGGATTTTGTTAAACGTTCATCAGTGAAATGAGTGTTCTAAAAATTGATATTTAATTATTTGTGGTACTACAAAAATAATTTGTCTCTTTGATATATTTTATTGATGCTTATTTTTCAAGTGCCAAGCGATACTTATTTATAAATTTTTTGTACTTATCTTTTAAGGTGATACATGGCTATACTATCTGGCTTAATAAATGCTGCTTATATTTATATTTCTATGTACATTTTTTTCTGATTAAAAATTTAAAGTATTTTATTGATGGTAGTGGCCTCCATTTGATAATGTTAATACAATATTGACGTTATCGAGCATTGGCATTGTTAACTGCATGATTTTCTCTGACAAATGATTACATAATATTTTACATCAATATCACTAACTTCCTATTCAAAGAAAAGTAAGAAGAAAAAATTTTTAAGTCAAACAAAAATCATTTAATAGTAATGATAAACAAACAAAAAATTTTTTTTAAATCACGTCCGCATCTTCCTCTTAGTTATCTTTGAGCGTACACAAAAACATACCTGGAGCTATAGCATGAAGACTCTTGGTAACGACAGTAAGACCATAGATTGCAAGAAGTATGCTAATTAAGACAAACGGCTGTAAAAAGACTCCGTAACTATTGGCAAAAACAGGCGCCTCCGCAGACATGATCAGCAGAACGCAGCAGACAATTCCCTGTGCAGAAGAGATAAAATAAAAAATAAAAATAATCTGTTGCTAGTACTTACTTAGGTCATGTACATAATCTTTGTTAGTAGCTTATTTTTACTAACATTTTTTTATTCAGCAACGTAGAACTTTATCGCAACGTGTTAGGAAATTCTTATACCAATAAAATACTGAAAAGGTTACAACTAAACGTCCATTATCCCATTTTTTTTTCTCTTATTTTCGTTCAGAAAAAACTTTAAATTATTAAGAAAAATTATTCAAAAGTCATTGCATTCATTACTTTTAATACATTTTATCAATATCAGAAAATATTGTCATTTTTTTAATTAATAATATCGTATGATTCTTTGTAACAGTTACCAAAAAACCAATAAAGTAAAAGTTTACTGCACGATAAACTATTCCATATTCATAAATATGTGTGAGTATGTCAAGTATATCAGAATCATAAAATACCGCTTTTTAATTTGTTAGAAAAACAGACAGTGCAATGACCCCAATATCTCCTAATGAATGTGCAAAAAAATAACATAAAATGAAGATGGACTATACATACATCTTGCACATACATGTGTATACTGTTCACAGGCTAACTTTTTTATCTTGAGGTAAAGAAATATTCTGAATGATTTTTTAATAATTCGAAAAAACTTTTTTACATAATTTTTGTGGTAAGTAAATAATTTTTAAAAATAAAATATGCTCTACATAATTATTTATTGTGTTTTTCTGAACACATTCCCATATATTTCTGAGTCCTAAGGTGTAATAACTTGGTGACCTTGAACTTTTGGCTGGTTAAATTAATCATTACTTATTCATTAATAACCTTTTTTCACAAGCACCTAATCGACGTAATTATTTTACATAGTAAGTAGGCAGATATTAATTTACTGTTGACTACAGGTTTGACCAAATCTGACTGTTCGTTATACTAAGGTTTTTGATTATAAGAGTCATTTTTGACGATCTCCCATAAAAACGAATGTAAAGTACATAAAATTTGTTTAATGACTTTCTCATTTCATAAGCACCCAGAGTTGTTGAAATTTTGCATGAATTTTTTTTATACACTTTTGAAGTTCTGCACAAAATTTTAGTTAAAAACTGACTGTCAATTGCTTAAGGTAGTCAACCTCCGTAATAACGAGTATATTTATTAGGATTACTGCTTAAAATTTAGAAGTTGTAGGCGATCAGCATTTTATTTGCCAACTAGAGTTATTTTATTTTCTAAACATGTGCCAGCTTTTTTGACTTAAGATGGTTCATACAAAAAGCGATTTATTGACGTAAACGTCGAATCTTGGAATATAAGTTCTTAATGTCAACATACAGAAATGGTTAAAGTTATATAAAGGTTTGTTCCGACGTATCTAAGTTTAACATGTATGAATGTCTTTTTTTTCATAGATATAACTTTGTGTTTCATTCAATATTAATAGCATGTCTGTATGTTTCTCATAAATATCTAGTAAACGTTAGGCGTCACTTCTATAAGGCGCATATTCGTTATCATAACAATAAAAAAAGAGTGAATACAAGTGTTTAAGTATCGAATCATTAATTATTTTAATAATCATGAATATTTATAAATCTATACACGAAGCTAATTTTAAGTCAGTTGAAAGTGATCGCTTAGTTATGAATTCCACAATAGTAGTCCCCATTTTTTGCTTGTTCGTGACTTTTACGGTATGAAAATCATATTGCATTATTTTATGAATTTGAAATGTAATTTTGGTTGTCTATTCTATTTTAATAATATAAGAAATTTTAATAAAAAAGAGTTAACCATAAATAACTCACTAATAGATGTTACAAGAAATCATACCACCTATACTATTAAATTCATTTGAATAATGTATTAACCAGTTGTCACAGTTATATTATTTTGTTAAATATATTTAAATAAATCATTGATTTCATTTTAAAGTTAATATGCCAAAAATTTTATACTCACCTACAAAAAGTTCATCATTTAGAAGTAGAAATAAATAAGTGGGTAATGAGTTTCAAGTGGGTATTTTTTAACATTTATACATTACATTGAACCTACGGATGAGTCATTACGTCTGTCCTCAAATAAGTAATTATTCGACTTCGTATTTCAATCTCAATATTACATATCACCCTACGAGAATTACCGATGTAAATTCAGTTTCAACAGTCAATAAATACTATTTATTTAACGTAGCTTTTGTTTAAATTATAACCATGTTGTTCTTTTATGGATTTTTATCAAACAAATATTTTATTTCAAGAATCCAAGGATCAACAAAATCCAGTGATTTCATCATTTTTACTTTATTTTTATGTTATAACATCTTTTTTTACAACTTTTTTGAAAACTATCTAATGAAAATTAGGCTGAAAAATCAAACTGATAAAACTGTAATTTTGAAAACAATTTTTTTTCTCTAGCACATGTTATACATACTAATCTGCATTATTTCCAAAATATGTGTTCCACTTTGGTAAGAACTATTTTCCTTTAATTATCTAAGTACAGTTTAAAATTAAATAAAAGTTGTTTGCGTGTTGCTTTAAAAATACGACAGTGTTTCCTAATTTTATCCCTCGTGAGTGTCATTCAAAATAATATAAAGTAATGTATAAGTCAACTCAAACAAATTAATTCACTTTATTCAAAATTCCTTTTTATTTTAATTGAAAAAGTATATTTAATGATCTTTATGGATCATNACAGAGAATCGAGAGGAAGGATTGGAGGAATAAAAAAATTACGGTGTGACTCTTCCCTTTTCTCTTTAAGCTCTCCCGAAAGGGAGGTATTGGATTTTGCTGAGTCTTTCTATTCTCGGGCACCGGCCCCTCTAGCTAGCTGTGATTATTCTTAAAGGAAAAAAAAATACTCATAAGTGTGACTCATCTTTATTGAAAATAGTTTATTAGTTAAATATTTATTAGTTCTATGGCAAATTTTTCGTGGTTCAAAATAAAACTTTTTAATTTTTTTCCATAAAATCTAGAAGTCATTTATGTTAGCATTCATTTATGCAATTGAATTTAATGGGTACTACAATACTTTGAACTCTATAGTACTTTGAACGTTTTTTTTGTATTTATACTATATACTTTACTCTATATTAATAACTATGTGGTTCCAGCAGGATTCTAGAAATTAAAACTTATTCTGGTCACTGACGATCCTAAAAAAATTTTTTTAATAAAAAACCCTATGTTGATCTTAGTGCATAATGCCAGTTTTTGTAAAATCATCCATATATATGGAATTAACTTCATTAATGGTTAAAAAAAAAAAAAAATTCATCTCAGAAACAGTCTAACCTACTTCGTTGCATACAAATCATTAATTACTTCTTATTGTAAAGGACTCAGCACATACGAAGATATTATTGCATCCAAAGTTAAAGATCTGCCTTGCTGAATTTGGAGTGAATTCAGGTACATAATTTTACCTTTATGAAAATGGATTAAACTTATATTTTACTCTACTGCTTATAGATGTCTATGATCAACAAAATGTTGCGCTTAACAGTAATCAACTTTACTGTCCCATTGCGTGTCTGTACAAAAAACTAGGATTTGTAAGTTCAACAAGTTTCTTATTTTCTCTATTCTTATTTAATATGTTTAGTTTTGTGATAGTTCACTTCATTGTACAACTTAAAATGCAACGTTTTCCTTCTTTGGTCATTCTTTAATCCAGTTTTTAAAAAAATGCATAGTCTTATGTTACTTAATATAAACATGTTTGTAAAAAATGTTATAAAAATTATAAATTGTATGATTATACGACGTTAATGTGATGAATGCTTGATAAATTTGTTTGAAATAAGGAATGTATATATAAAACATATTTCAGTAAATAAAGTTATTTTTTGGTAAATAACAACGAAACAACTTTTTTGTCGATTTAATATTAAAATTGTAGACTTTTCCTCTACGTTCGTACAACAGTAGGCTATTTAACAGAAATTAAAATAAGTACATTTCGGAAGCACTTACTATTTATTTTCTACTCATCAGTACACTTTCAAAAACAATGTAGTATAGTAGAAAAGTTACTTACGGCAAAATATTTTTTCAAAATTGTAACGCGTATTACCAACTTCATTATTAGCATAAAAAAGAAAATAAATTTAATGCTCCAAATACGTGCGACACAAATAATATATTTGGTTAAAAGGAAAACTAACGCATAGAAAAATTTTGCAATTAAATACTGCAAAATATCGTATTATAACATGAGATAACAAAATGTGTCTGAATATTTTATTGATGAAAATATTTGCTCTTATCATGTTGATTACAAAAATATGAAACTGATTTTTGTAGATGAATCCAGATGGCTCATTTAATGAAGCTGAAATGGTGAATCGCATACAGGATCATAAAAGTAGAGACACAATTTCTCAAAGAGCTCAAATCTGCCAAGGTAAGTAATTTTAACTCGCTACAAACTAATCCTTAAAAAATTGCTATGCTGTAAGTAGCATTTAAGGTCTTCTTATGTACTTAAAAATCTCAGTCAGTATCACTGCAATTCAAGTAGTCAAGATTTTATCAATATTGTTTGTTGAAAAAGTTGAAGCCAAATATATTTCAAACACAAATTTTTTTCTTAGTATATAAGCAAGAAGTAAAAATGAGTAAAATTTGTTTAAGACGAAAAAAAGTTATGAAGCTCCAAGTGTTAATGTATTTTAACAAATTTTTAGGAGAAGTTGATTGCCGTTTGACTCAATGTTTGTCGCAACATAAGCATGAAGATGATGAATCGAGGTGGTATACTTACTTTGAATTTATAAACTTTGTTTTTAACGACCACATGTTTACGAAGTAAATACATGTAATTAATAATCTTACAAGGGCATACTTTAAGGAATTTCTTTTTAAAAATAATATTTAAAGTGATTGTTCTTGTTGCAAGGAAATAAAACAAACTGTTTCCCCATTTGAATACGTAAACATTACTGCTTGCATCAAAAATATATTAAAGTAAGCTGACAAAACGAGAATTTTAACGAAATAAAAGTTCTACCCCCTATAAATGTACAACTTTATTTGAAACTACATCTTCGTCGTGATGGTAGCATAATTATGAAATAACTCCATAAACTTAAGTTGGCTCAACAAGCATCAAAGTGCTTCAACGTTATTTAATAAATATCCATCCAGAATCTGTGTATTATAGGCATTCCAGACTAGTTTCAAAATGCAGCAATTGATGAACGTTTAAGAAACTTTTTGAAATCATAAACTAATTAAACTTACATTAATGTATCTAATAAAAAAAATTTTAAGGTCAATTAAAAATGTATGTGTTTGTTGTGATAAATAAAAAAGCCGATAATCCGATGTCAAACACTTCCCCTCGACCAAAGATTGAGTTAAAATTTTTTTCATCACTGATTAATTTACTTTAATTTTTTTTCGTATAAGATTAAAAAAAGCTACACTGATTAATGCACTCTTGGATTTCAACACTCTAGACGCGCTTTTCAACGACACAAGCTATTCATCACAACAGCAAGCTTATCGGATTATAATATTAAAAACTGGTGACAACATTGCTGGCTATAATTTACCATCGTTAAGTCCTTCCCTGTACTCCTCGAAAAAAAAAAAAAAGAGGAATAAAGGAGAAAAAACTGTTGTCAAAAATACAGATGCATTTCTGGGACAGAATCAACAGAGAATCGAGAGGAAGGATTGGAGGAATAAAAAAATTACGGTGTGACTCTTCCCTTTTCTCTTTAAGCTCTCCCGAAAGGGAGGTATTGGATTTTGCTGAGTCTTTCTATTCTCGGGCACCGGCCCCTCTAGCTAGCTGTGATTATTCTTAAAGGAAAAAAAAAAATTCCTTGAAAAAAAAATCCCAAGAGTAGTCTCTAGTGATGGGCCCCTTTCTTGAACGAATCTTGTCTAATTTTGTCAATTAATCATTTGTGTTTTTTGCAAATGCATATATCTGCGGGTATAAAACATTTTTAAAACGAAAGAAAAATATGGAATGTGTAATAGGCGATCTCAAGTTTGACTGCTGATTTCAATTGTTGCTTTAGTTAATGTGAAGAAACCTAAAGTTTCATAATATGATTCACAACTTGTAGCATCACCTTTTTTTATGTTTGTACACAAAAATAATTAAGTGGCACTATTCATGATTAAATAATTTTAAAAAATATTTCGCAAATTATATTAATTTGGTTAATTAACTTACATATTTTCATCGTACTAGCAACTATCAAAAATTTTTTTGTGGGTCTACAATTACGTATCTCGTTAAAAAGACATTAAAAAATAATATCCTGTAATTATCAAGATAAGAAGCAATTACTCTTTGGACAAAAAAAAAGTGATTGAAAATTCCATTACCACAAAATTGGTAAAAAGGAGGCAAAACCTTTGCTGTTCTTTGAGAACAAATACCCTTTCCCGTGTGTAATATACTGTTCACTATACCTGAACGATAGGAAACTGCAGTACAGCTATGTGCAGCCAGAACAAATTGACGTCGTTCATCTCGAGGGTGGGGAACTCGAGGCACGGCCAACAACAGCACGGGCCCACCTTGAGTGCCAACTGAGGCGCCTTCAGGGCTCTTCGTCTCCCGAGTTCTTGGAGCAAGGCATAGAGACGGTACAGGGCGATGGTTAGGGCCATTGATGTCAGTGCCTCGGCTAGCAGCTGTGACCTGGAGGATGATGAGGAAGAAAAAAAAGTTTTGTTTTTCGAAAAATTCACACTATAGGGAAAATGGTCGTGGGTTGTTGGTTTTGCGTGTCATTTGCATGTAGTAAATCATGAGAAAGAAAGGAATGAAAAATAATAAGTAATATTTATCATTCTGAGTAGGATAGGCTAGTTTAAGTGTTTGTGCATTTATTTGGAAAATTCATGGGCTGAGCTTGGTTCTTTTACTGAGATGAACAAATGGGAAAAAAGGACCAAAATAAGTTTTATAGTAAACCTATGTAACGCCAAGTAACATAATTTTTAGCGTTATTTACTATAATTTATCGTAGTGTGGTTTTACTGTGGATAAAATTTCGTGGATTTCGAATATGTATCAATATAACCATAGTTTTATAATAAAAATGATTGTTAATCAATAAATCTGAAAGAATAAATTCTTACTTTTACTAGAATTTACATTTTTTATACGATTTAAAACAATTTTTACTTTTATACCCATGAAGTTTTATGGCTATCAAATTATGTATTTCAACGATGCAATTTAAAAACCTACAGTAACATCAATCACTTCATACTTCAGACTATAGCGCAGCTGTGGAGAAAATCTTGTAATATTTTAAAGAAAAAAAAAAAAACAATCAGTATAATCAACTAATACAATTACACCATAAATTGTACATTCAATCTCGTTACGTAAGAGCAAAAAACTCATAACTTCCGATCGAGGTATAAAATTATCCAACAGTACCACTGTACTATACCTTCGCGAAAATGATACAAATTACAGGAATACCCGGAATCGAGCCGAAGGGCGTGTACTCTCGTGCAAAACGTCAGAAGGAAGAGATGAAGGTTGGAAGAAGAGAAAACCAAAGGAACTGAATGAACGAGGTGTACCTCAAAGCTAGTGTATCATTTGCAGACCGTATACAAATTACTATCCCCGAACTCATTAGGACCGGCGAAATTTCGGCGAAGGTTATCCGAATGGCCCACATTTCCAGTGGCGTAAGCGGAAGACAGATCGATAATGAAAAAATAAGCCCAGTGATTGTGTACGTGCATGATTCGGTTGAGAGGAGTCGGCCGCTTTCGACAGGTCAATTTTTTGAAGAAAAAAAAAAAAAAAAAAAAAAACAATGGATTTGTGTCATTCATTAGCGCGATTCTCCATACACGACTTAGTGCTCGTGACGCTATATTCCGGGATCGGGTAGAGCGTATCTGTGTTGCTACTGGTGATCTTGAAGCGATAATTGTCGATACAATGGGCTGCTGCAGTGTAGGAAGCTGGAGAAGATAGTGTTTGAGGAAGTGGAAAGACTAGACACGATTCTCTCCTTCTCTCTCCTTGTGATTCCAAAGGATGCAAACTGGTAGTATGTGGCAATCTTTTTTTTTTTTTTTTTGTTTCTATATGTTCAGCTCCAAGGAAAGAGGAAAAAATGTCTTAGTTAGGGGCACGAATTTTTTTATTTTCGTACTCCAAAAAAGTGAACGGATAAAACATGTTACGGTTAAAGGAATAAAAAGTTTTCCTAAGCAATCTATTAAAAAATATTCTAATAATCTTATTGTACATTTATGGTGTGACTAGTTGATTAAACAAATGATAAGTGCGAATATAATTAATATGTTTAATTACATAACAAGTAATATTATTCCAGCAATGAGTTGTAAATATTTGCACGAACCGTGTGTGCTTAGCGTATAATGGCATTCATTTTTGGATGAAGATAAAAATGTATTAATTAAGAAACGTTGCGTGCAAATCTTAAACAATTTATTTTTCCTTTATTAACTCCTAAATTAAAAAATATGGTATTTAATTTTAAGCTTCATTGAAATATTTCTTAATTAATAATTAAACATTTTTTTCGATAAAATATCTTCCACGTAATCAAATTGTATAACAGTGTTGAATTAACAAACATATAATTGTTAGAATTTTCATTCATGAATATTTACGTAATGTAAGAATTTTTTATGATAAAACGCATAAAAATAATCTGATTGGGTGATATTTCACACGGATTGGTGTTTTAGTTTTCCCTGCTCATTGTCAGCTCAAAAGCCATTCATTATTTAATTTTATGTCTCCTCCTACTGTCATAGTTCTATGTATTTCTATGTTTCAGAAAACAAAAGTGCCATCCTCTCCCCAGAATATTCCCGCGCCGTATCTATTCGTTCCACGAACAGGATGTTTTTCAACTCGCTCTCTGATATTCTTTCCCATTCTTTTTTCTCCCGTACTTTCTTTCGATCGGGTGGTCGTGTGGTAGTCACTGTCTTTGGCTGTCCACTTCACGACGACTTATATCTTTCACCCGAGATTTTTCGTCAGCCTGTTTCTTTTAACTGGAAATTTTGATTCTTGTGTTTAGATAATTACTTTGGATAACCGCTTGGATCTGATAAATTTTTTTGATTTTTTTGTTCCACCAACAAAACTAAGATATTATTCAAAATCATTTTTTAAATTTCGTTTTGAGTTACTGGAGTATATAAAATCAACCAAGATTTCAGTGTAACTTTAATCAGAGTCACTTCTGTCCTAAGCGACTGGGCCTAGATTACTGAAAATACAGCCAATTGAGATTTTATGCGAAAACTCAGCTATCCAATTTGTAGGGTATAATTTTGTGCGTATACGTGAGACAAATATTGGAATCTTACTACACAACACTAAATAATATAGGCTTGATTTAGTGTAAAAACTGGTATTGTTTTATCTAAATTATTATTCTTTATTAAAATGAACATACTAGTCTTTTGTTCTACTATCAAAAACAGCATCGTTTTCCACTTAAAAAATGTTTACCTGCTCTATATTTGCCAATTCACATGCCAGATGTTGTAACAAATTACATGTTAGAGTTAAAACTTTTTTTTTGACGATCCCAACCCCAAAGCAATATATATATATATATGAGTTCAAAAATATTGATCGTAAAAAAAGAAATAGCAAAAATAATCCCAGAGTTTCCTTCAAGTGTCGTTACCCTCTCAGAAGTACACACGCTCACCAAGACACGTCACGCAGCACGTCAATTTGCGTAATTACCTCGGTAGCGCGAGTGCGGTGAGGCTACAGAGACTGGCGATCGGATAGACGGATAAAACGGTGCAGGCGTTGATCTTGAAGGAAGTGGTCTCCTGCCGATAGCAGATGTTGCTGCAGGCATCGACGCCGAGGTAAACGGTCGCGGCGCATAGCGCCGAGGCTATCGTTACCAGACCAACTCCAAAATTTCCCAAGCCTGGAATGGTAGATTACGAGTACAGATTAATGGCCACGTCACACTGGATTTTTACGTAACGAAGAATTTTTTTTCATTACATCGTCATATGTATATAAATATTTTTTAAGGAATGGGGTGTATTGATTTTGTGGGGCGCTCAAAGGGGATGGGTAAGTTTATTGGATTTTTATTTAAACAATAATGATGTATATTCATAAGACTGTTAAACAAATTTCAGTCTCCAAATAGCTGTGGTTCATATATGTTTCTACGTCTAAGTAATCAAGATTTTAGACTAAGCCTAGTTATTTTCCATTTGATTGAAATTTAATTAGTAAATGTTGCAGTGCGCAGTTAGATATGTTTCAAAGATAAAGTAAAAAGCCTTTGTGACAGAGTTAGGAATGAAAAAAATTTTTTTACAAAATCTATGTTTTTTATTGCTTATCTTCATTCTAAGTATACTTAAAATTGAAAATGTTAAAAAAAAACATGATTCCGCGTACCTAAAAATTTGATTTTCCTAATAATTGATGAGTCTATTTAAAAAAATGTATTATATAGGAACAGTTATGTCACTTTTTACGAGAAAATAAATAATTGCACTTGTTTTCATGATGCCTATCGAGTTGAGAAAGCGTTCATATGTGTTGCAACGTGTATGAATTAAATCTTACTTACTAATTTGATCCTTACAAAATAATGAAAGTATTAGTTCAGAGCACAAATTTTTCGTAAAATTATAAATACAACTTTTATAGTTTTATAGAAAAAAATATGACTGAAAGAACAACAAAATAATTTTTTATGCTGCGGTTGTCTATATTAAATTAATAAATTTGTACATTCTATTCAAATTAATTTTTTTATAACTCGCAAACATCTATTATTTTTGTATTGGTAAGAGTTTTTCCCAAATTTTTTTTGTTTTGACTTTTTTTTTTGTAATTTCTTGTGCACGTTGTATGTAGGAAACGAATAGGATGTTAGAATATTTATCCATTGAAAATTGTGTTGACATCATCTTACGTGGTGTAATTGGTAACTACTTAAATCATTAATTAAAATTTATAATCAAATTAAAAAATAATGAAATTTAATAAATGATAAGTTAATATTGTCATACGTTGAAAACATTTAAAAGGAAAAAAATAATTTAAAAGACTGTATGATTAGAATTTTTAGTGAAACAGACCAATAACGAAGTAAATAACAGTGCTTGGATTTTTTTACAGAAAATTAGAGCTTTTGTAAGTTACAATAAATTATTGACAATCTAAAAATTATTAAATCTAAATTCGCCCTTGCATAAAGGTTTAAAGACGTAATTGAATTGTAACTATAGAAATATATAACTGCTACTTCAACTGTTGCAGTGAATCTCATTTAAAAGTGAGAGCTGTGTGTTAGCTAAGCGTTGCGCCATTAATTTCCAACTTTAACATCAAATAGACGTTCCGCGTCGTGCATTACTTTCTGTTTTTTTATGGTATGTTGGTAAATAAAGTAATGACTGAGTAAATATAAACTTATTCGGAATATATTTTTAATAAAAAGAATTTTTTCTGTAATTTTTTGTTGTTGTAACCTTTTTTTGTAATTTCTTGCTCACGATACACTAATATTTATTTTTAACTTACTATCACTTTTAAATTTTAATAAACACAAAAAAAATTTTAATGTTTCTTAATGGATTTGTGTATAACTACTATTCTAAAAGCTTGTCAATATGTGAAAAAGAAAAATATAATGGTCACATATGCTGTTAGCAAAAATTTGAAAAAAAATTACTTAATGATATCTTTCGTTTCAAAAATAAATGACAAATTTTAATTAAAAGAAAAATCATAGTTTTTAAGTTTGTCACACTCCATGCTTGCATATTTTTTGTCAGTCAGACATACAAACACACACCTCACGTAACCTAAAGTACGTTTATGCATTGAGTTCGCGGCCGCAGTTCAACACGAGACTTTCACTGAGTATCGTTTATATTATCCATGCACTTGTATACACGTGAGCAAGAGAAGTATAACACCAAACGACACTGGGCTTAAAAATGAGGTCAACACGCTAATTTTGAAAATTTTTCACCAAGTCGGCTCCTTCTTTCGATACTTTGATGTTAGTATATGCCTTTTTTTCAATTAAAGACGAAGCTCGAAAATTATTAAAATGTTTATTTTGATGATAAGTGTGTGTAGTATGTTTTTTTTCGTTTCAGATGTTGGGAAACACTCCGAGAAACTTAGAGCATGTTATTTAAATTATATAAATTATACAAGAATTTCTATTCAGAGTAGCTACTTTTTGCACAAGTTTCTAGTAACGTACTCGTAGTCACAGAATTGATCTATTTACAGTACTGGCTTGGTCGTTTAGTCTTGTAGAAAATGTAATTTAATAACATATATTTTATTATGGCTTTGCTGCAGTAAATCATATCGTAGATTAAATCAACATAAAGAAAAATTAATGAGAAATCAGGTACTTAGTGTTGCAGTACTAAATATTTGTACCATCCAATATATTTTTGCCACGAAAAAAAAGGTCAATGAAATTTTTTTTTGATATTAGGCTAGAAAATTTTGCAACGATTGAAACGTCTTTTTCATTCCAATTTAGAAAGAAAAGTGAAATAATCATTTGATGAAAAAAATACTCATTTCAGATTCATAAAAAAGGTAGAAGTGACAGTGGTAGGAATCCTTGTGCGTTTTTCTTCTTCTTCATTATCTGCGATTTAATGTAAGACTAAAACCATTAAAACTAAAATGTGTACTTGAGAAACTCCAATACTTTCGAACCTCCAGTATATGCCAGTAAATCTGATGATGCCCGACAAATAAGAGGATATCTTCATAACTATGAATTAATCAAAAACAGGTTCTAGAGACAGTTATTCTAATGTTCAACTTGTTCTCCCAGCAAAGGTAGAGCAAAAGTCACTGGGTAAAAATTTCTTACAGACACGTTATATAAATATTTCATACCCATGCCCCAAAGATATACGTCAAAGATGTATTTTTCAATTCCTAAAATACTCGTTTTCCCTGACAAGCAATAGGTACTTACTCTCAAAAAGCTGGATTGAAGTCGGCAAGTAAAAAGTCTCACAGCTGAAGTTACCGACGAAGTAGAATTCCTCGTTCCCGAACTGTCCGATCGAGTTAACCACGTCTATTGCCATTTTTCGCAATCAATCGAATCCCAAAACTATAAGTTGACACTATCCTCTCGTTACCATTCTTAGCACTGAATTATCATCTTCTTTAGGATAAAAAAAACTCACTGTACTAAACTGAACACTGAAAGTGCCGAGGCTCAGCGGACGTTTGAAAGCGCGATCTCCCAAAGAGCAGTTCACGTACAAGTGGGTGTATTTTCCCCACTTGGGAGACAGTGGCAGCCACCGCGTGCTGGTCCCCGATACAGAGGCCGCAAAGTGAGAGTCCCGGTCTTGGCTACTTTTACTTTCTGCGCTCACGTATAAATTTATATGTGCGAAGGAATGGATGGATGGAAGGAATTCTTACGGAAACTTGCTATTACAATCGTGCATTTTAAGAGGCATCGGAGTAACTTGAGTTCATGCTTACCTGGTGCTTCCGACGTAACTTTGATCACAAAATTTTATGTTTGACTCATGCCATTGTACACTGTATCTTGAACTAAAGACTTTTATTTTATTCTCTGTGTGGAAAACCATGACGAACTGTGCTATAGAGATCAGATCAATATGTCGGAACAATAAGATCATCAGCAATTTTCATACAGGGTGTCATATGATAACAAAAGGTTCTATAAACTTCCACTGAACCGATGTTATGTCAGTAAAATCATTTTGAGATTGTTTATTAGTAAGGAATTTAAAAAATTGACTAAATAATACTTCATAAGCACTTAATTACCTAAAAAATAAAAATGCCTTTTCTTCATTATTGTTGGTATCATTCACGAGCATGCAAAAATGTCCAATTGATTTTTGGACTATACCCCGAAGAGAATAAAAATTAAACATATCGTTTGTTTTCCACAAGTTTTGACAATACTCCCGATGTTGGCAACATCCAATTATTTTGTAATTTGTGGATTTATTTTAAAACTCTGAGGCAACGTACCATCAACTAATACTGTATAGCCTCACTTAAGCCGCAGTTGGTAAGCTCATGGACATTACCTACAGCAGAAATCAAATGGGTTCTCCTTCGATACATGTGTGTAAACGTAAATTATTTTTATTCAGGCACTTTCCATAAATAAATGTGAAATTTTACGCTCGAAATATTTGGACGCTTTTTACTTCATATTCAAGTTATAGACCTACATAAAGAGCTCTTAGCGCTGCATGGATATACATTCTTTGACGTTAAGGCTTGCCCCGCTTGTTGCATATACCACCCTACGGTTTCAAGTTAAAAGCACCTTACCATCAGAATACGCGTGTTACCTACCCAGCAAACACAGAGCCTACAAACCCCATCAAAAGTCTACAAAATTTATTTAGGAGTATTTAAGTCTGTGTTTGCTGGGAAAATATGAAAAGAAGTTGTTATGGTGAGTTGGTGAGTGTCTCTGGTACAGAATTTAACGCGTGATTGGGGTTAATTAAAGATTAGATATTAGTTATCACAACAAAGCCAGAGTATTTCCTAACACGAAAAAAGTAATTATAAGGGGCCGCATTAAAAAAGTATAAGTAATATTATCATTTTACTGATTGTTTTTTCTTATGAAATTATAATCATTTTAAGAAGATTAAAAAGAAAANAAAAAACTGATTAAAAATTAAATTTTTTAAAGACTAAAGCTTTGGATACGGTAAAAGCTTAAGTATAAATCACTTTTTGTTATTAGCTTTTGTACAATTTCGATTTCTGTCTGTCTATGTGTGCAAAAAAAAATATGTCAATCGATTTTTGGACTACTTCTCGACATCTACGAGTGCTGTAGTTTTGCATTTAACGCATCTCAGGCATTAAAGACCGTGTAAATTAAAATGTACTGCAAGTAGAATACAGGAAGTTCCATGACGTCATTCCTAATTTAAAATAGTACAGTATACCAAACGTCGTATAACAAGATAAACTAAGTACATCATCCTACATCTAGTTAGGTGGCTACCACAAAATGCCGAACCATATATTCCTCCAAAATTTCTTGATATTAATGTTAAATCGACAGGTTCTAATGAGATATTCATGTAAGTGACATTAAATTAATACATTACCCTGGTAGAAAATTACTACATAAACTGGCTAGAAACGTTTCTATCAGGGTATTGTTCCGACAATATTAGTAAATTTGCAAAAAAAAAAATTAAAGGAAAGCATATTATAAACTTAAAAAGAGGTAGAAAATGAAAGAGAAATTCTTGGAGAGGCTTAAATTTTGTATATAAATATTTGTAAAAGATGAATACACGTTTTTTGAGACATTGCATTAGCTTATATTATTTTAACGGATTCTAAAAAGGATAAATTTATTCGGGATGGAACAGGAAATCTAAATAATGCATTAAGATTTTACTACATTTATTGTTCACTATATTTAATGAATAAATATAGATTTTATAACTTTGAAGCATATTGCGAATTTGTGTTCCCTGAAATTTTTTTTTGAAAGGTCGTCAGTTATTAAAAACAAAAAACTTAGATTATAGTTAAAACTCTTTATTGAGACTGCTTTTTTTTAAAACTACCTTTTTTTCAATACAATGTTAAATTCTATTTCAATTTTAGGATTACAAGCAAAATATTGTGAACTTGGACCATACACGTCCACCTACTCCAGTTGTAGTTATTAATTAACTTGCGCAGAATGGGTTATTTTTTACAATTACCAAAAAGTGAGCTCATCCCTGGGAAACAATTGCTACAGCATGATGCCTGAGTTTTAGAGAAACTGGAAGAGCGTTCGTTTAGCACTACAGTTGTTGAATTGTAGATGGCATCGTGTGTCGAAAGTTTTGAATATGGGATTTTGCTGGTACTCGGTGCTACATCGATTGATTTACTCTTCTTATCAGAAATGAGAATTTTTTGGTCTGCCATAGTCAATGTGGTACACGTGTCAGACGTACAAAAATATATCAAAGTGTAAATTTTTAGCGTGAATAGCAGTTTTTTGTTACTAGATTATCAAATCAAATATTTGGTTTACCGTTCAAGATGACAAGCCCAACTAGTTGCTATTTCGTACGTATAAAAGTCAGAAGCTACGATGCGTGGGCCTACAGTAGAGGGGTTTTTATCAACTACTTAATTTGTCATCAATCGGGTACCTACATCGCTGGAGGTGGTAAATACTGCTTTAATCAGTATGAGACAAGAGTACAAAAAAGTTACTTATTGCTGTCCACGCACAAATAAACTTTGTACAATATTACTGTGAATATTATTTGATTGGCCCACGTTACTAAACCACCATCAATAATAATTAATATTAGCTTTGAGATCAATTAATTTTTTCTATAACAATACGAAGTAGTAGTCGCGTAACTTGCCCCAGTCATAGTATTTTAAATGAAAATTAAATGAAAAAAACTTTATTGTATTCAGACGAAGTTATACCAAATAAATCATTTTATTGTTCTATAGATGCATATTAGTTTTTTTATTACCTTTATCGATATCTTATGATGTTTAAGTAGAGGCTGGTCAATATTCGTTACGGCGCTAGTTGTACATAATCTTTGGGCTCGGATAAAAATTTTGTCCTTTTTTTTCTTGTACTAGAACAAGGTGAGCGTTTTATATATTCATAACAAATTAGGCCAATTAGCATTTTGAGATTCTAGCTATAGTATAACTTTCAAGGATTTCGTTGTTTTGGCTTCGCTCTAAAATAAACTTTGAATACTTGCATGATAATGAGAGCATAAGGATCCTTTAATCGGGTATAAAACGTATTTCATTTATCATGACCAAGAAATAGAGACATCAGCTTTAGTTGCCAGAGATTAGATTAGTTAATAGAATTTGGATAGTGCTTAACTTTCGTATGATTTGAATAAAAATCTTGATTCTATACTTTTACTTTCATGAATATTATGAGCACCATGTGTCACAAGTAACGTAAATTCAATAAAACTGTGTGAAATTTTAAGAAAACAATTTTTTATATAATTTTCTTCATTGTGGGTTTGTCTTGTGATCATCAAAACTTAAGTTTAGTTAAAATTCGGTTAAATGCGAGAATAAAAGTTACCAGAGATTTTACCTGTCTTGCTTTAAATGCAAAAGCACCGTATACTCTTTATCTTAATTGATCGTATTTTTCGAATTGATTATCATTCTATGGAAAAACTCTATTTCAACGCTGGCACGCCATTATAGCCCTTATAATTAACCAATTCAACCATCTCTGCTTAGAGTAGCGAAAAACAACCTTCAATGAGGCAAAAATCAAATCCCAAGGCTCATTAAAATACACATAAACACACCTCATCCATTTCACTTTCACGTTCGGTGCAACGTGTAAGTTGTCAGAGTGTGAGGATCTTCCATAAATACAAGGACCATCGCTTTCGTTGCGACCCAAGGAAGAAGTTTCACGTGATCACCATAGTCTCCAAGCTGCGCAGAATAGTAGCAATCCACGATGAAATTTCACGTAGAGGTGGTGTACAACATACCTCGTGCATCAATAAATTCTCTCTTTTCGACGCGATGAGTCTCTCGAAATCGAAATCGAAGGACGAAGACAGGAACACCACGAGTGTGTACATATACGTATGCATTCACGCTCTCGTGCTGCACTCGGGACTCGACTCACTCGACCCGATTCTCGAGAGAGCTCCTTCGCTGCTCGTTTTTTTTTTTTACCAAACTTTCGTTTTCCTTGAACTTGGCGCTACCGAAGATATCAGATAAATCGCGGCGACTCTTCGCTTCTTTCCGTATACAGATATAGAATTGAAAGTGAGAGAATCGAAAGTATAAAATACTTGCACGCAAATGTATTGAAATGACCCCTTGCATTTACTTATCTGAGGCATTTTGTACTCGGCGAAAGCTTGTAGGCACTATTTTCCTTTGAACACGTGGTATTTACGCGAGGAAAGCATCAGTGCAGGGATGATCACATTTGCTCACATGTGAATTATTTGGTGCGCTAGAGTAGATAATGTGTGTGGCGAGTTAAGATCGTCTTTAGGCTGTTGATAGATTTATTTGCCGGACGGGATGAGAGAGAGGAGCTTTTTTTTGTGAAAGCGCGTGTCATGGAAAGTGAGCTTTTACTGGAAGAAAGTTGATTTAGGATTTGAAAAAATCATAGTCACAATGAAGAATTTTGACTCTCGAGAAATAAAATATAAATTAATTAAAATGCATCCACGCTGATTTTTAATGTTATAAGTGCATAAATAATGGCTTTGAAAACTTTTGTATAAATTTTAAAAGAAAAAATTAATACATTAGATTTCATCCTATTGCTTGTAGTTTTATATTTAAAAAAAGTAGGTAATAGCCATGGACGAACGAAGAAACTGTTTTTCAAAAACATAAAAGGATGTTGACTCATGAGGTTTTGCAGGAATTTTAATTAAATTTTCAAGGTACTTAATACAACATTTTTTCTTGTATAATCTATTTATAATTGTTTTTAGACCAGAATAACAAAAAATAGTTTGTATATTTTCTCCACATGTTTTTTTCATCTTTTATTCATCTAGTAGTATTCATGCATTGTTTAAAATAATTTTCTCAATTGTAAAAAAATTAAAAAATAGTGAAAAGTAATTGGTATAAAAGTATGCAATAAATATTGTATAACTTGACCATGTCTGTACAGTAAGGTAAATCATACACAATGTAGGTATGGTGCCGTCATTAACTTTTCATAGTTAGAAAACTACTCGAATGTACTCTGAATGTCTACTAATGTATCCTTTCTTGTTATTTTATTCCTATCAATATGTTTGTCTCATTATTTTTTAAATTATTGACTATCTTAATTTTTCCTTAGCTTATTTTAAGAAAATAAATTTTTAATGACAGAATGCATGTATAGTATGAATTTTTACAAAAATGGTTAATCATTTTAATAGCTATTTAAATGTCAAAAGCTTTCTGTTAATGATTTTTATTAACAGATGGACATTAAAAATAACCTTAACAATGTTGACCTATTCCTTTTTACGTAAGCTCTCATTTTATATTTCTATAGGCACATATATACTTTTTTCGTAAACCGTTAGATTCTGCTTCGTAGTCGCTGTAACCTCAGTCTTCCTTTTGATCTATTCTGACAACAGTTTTATTTCCTCACTAATTATGGTTGCTTATAAAAAAACTGTATGGACTGTTAAAATGTATCGTTACGATTTGAAGATTTAAAAAATGACCCACAAGTTGTACTCGAAAAATCGGAAGTAATATTTCTAATGTTACATGGACTTATGATTCTTGAATGACTTGATGTTCCTCCTGTAACAGTTCAGCTACTTTTAAAAAACCTTGTCATCGAGAGAGTGAGAAATCCTAGTAGACCTACCTTTTCTGACTTCTGTTGTATCTTTACTGTCCCAAGGTACATATTTAAGTAATGAGACCTATTGAAAGTTCTATTAAGTTTCCAAACATTTTTTTTGTATGCCGCAACTACAAATACTCGGGTGAATTTCTAGAAATTAAGAAATCAATTCTCCCATTGTTTCACAACAGGTACTGAATTCAAGAAAAAAGAAAAAGACCCCAAACGAAACGGTGCAAAAAAATTATTAAAATAACACACCAGTACACACATCAAAGCCTCTTCTCACTGGTCACTTATTTGCCTTGATGAATTACGCAATTCCCAAGTCGTTGCATTCCTCGCTCGGCCACCCGTTCGACTCTCCGGAGCGTAAAAAAGTCCATACGACCAAAGTACGAGATGGCATCCAACAAACAAGCAATACTCGCCTTCTCAAACGAATGCACGTATATGCTCTCAGAGGATGTTCATCTATTATTTATCAGCATTATGAGTACACGCACGCATACCGATATTTGAATATGAACTTGCATTTGAATGCGTCCACGCCATGATGGAGCTTCAAGACGAGCAGTGACAGCAGCAAATACAGGTGCGCGAGTATGGTGGGACGCATTGCTTAAAGAGCTGGGGCCCATCGAGGTGGGAGAGAGAGAGAGTTGGAAAGTAGGCCCGTCGCCGTACAGTCATAGAGTCCCAGTCAGTTGTCGAGGGGACCTTCGAGCTGAGAGACTTGCCGCGTCCACGAGTCGCCGAGTACTGGGCACGCGATGGTGAGTTTACGTGTTGGTGAGCGTGAAGTTGAATCTCGAATTTTCTGCGATAAGAGGGGACGATTTTCGTCTAGTTTTGCGAGAGAATTGTGAGTTTATTTGGTTTAAATAGGTGCAGTGCAACATAATGTTCATTGATGCAGTGGTGATTATTGGTCGGTAGGTTGGTAGTTGGGTTTGAATTTGCCGGCAAGACGCCGGACCATGTTGGTTTTATTGTTACGCCTTGTTTTGTTGAAACTTTAAATACAGTAGTTTGTACCCTAAATCAAATGATCTTGAGATATCGTAGAAATCGGTCCGCGAAAGGCATGATCGGTCAAGGGTGAAATTTAATTTACATCGATTTCAAGAAACACTATTGCACAGGAAATCACAAGTTATTTGCTATTCCGTTTAAAATCAACCAAGCAAAACCCATAAACCACGTTTTAGAATATTTTTTGCCATGAAAAATCGATGGATACTTATTTACTTGCCGTACAAATTTACAATGAGAAAATGTAGAGCAAAGAGGAACACGCACGTGGTAAACTTTTATTCTTGGTTACCTAATATTCAATGATGCAAGTGCATTAATAAGTGCTCCAAACTTCCCTACATGAGTTTAATTTCACGAAGGCTGAAAGTAATGCACTTTCGTTATGGAGAATAGGTGCGTTTTGATCTAGAATATCGAATTTTGTTATCGTATTATACAAGCACATTGAAAATTTTTTTCAGTTTAAATTTTCTTAAAAAAAGTTTATTGTTTATAGAATTAAAATTTACTTATATTTTTTAGTAATTTGAAAAAAAAAAAAATAACAAAGATATTAGAAGAAAGGGTTCTTACAAAGAAACAACAAACTTTATTAAATAAAAGTTTCTATTGTCTTAAAGATGTTTGTAGAAAAAAAAAAAAAAAAAAACTAACTTAACTATGAGAAAAGCGATTCCTGTCGAGCGATGCAGCTTTTTTTTATTAGCATATAGTTTCTTATAAATACGTAACACAAAAAAGACATTGTATAGTTTCAATTTACTTCGTCTCGAGTCATTGAATTTTTTGACGCTTGTTGCATTCTTTTGATGTCGAAAGTATGACTTTCGATTTTTTTATAGCTGAACAGTCTAATTACACTTGTTTGAGCTAGTTTCACTGGTAAATACTGGGATATCTGTATGCTTTACCTTGTTTAAATGAAAATTTTTTTGTGAAATCATTGAACTTTTTATGTTCCTTGAAATTCCAACATATTTTTACAGTTAAAATTACAAAAACATTATTTATTTTATGCATGGCTACATCATTTCCATTTAAAAAATATCTAGATATCGTGAAAGTTTAAAGTGAATACGTTTAAACGTAAAACATGTAGCTGTGTCACAAGAAATACGTATATTGTTACCATGACGTGCTTTAAAAAATAAATTGTGTTTTGCAAAAAGGTGTTAATTTTGCTAAAAAAATTAAAAATGTAAGACCCGTCCCATTCTTAGACGTTTTCAAATGATCAGCAAAGCCGATGAATCTCTCACGGAAGTGCGAAATTGCACAACACCTGTGTAAGACTTCCGGTTATGAATGGCGTTAAAAAGACGAAAGGGATTTTTGCAAGTAGAAAAAAGACATGTGAAAACGGATAATAATTTGCTGCGTCATAAGTCTCAGTACTCGCGGTGATTAGTGTCGTCTTATTGGCCAACTGGACTTTCTCGATGGTGCGTACAGGTCAAGGATCTCAACATGTTGCGATGGCATACGGGAAAATGAAAGACAAAAAAAATTATTTTGCATAAATATCAGTGATACGATACTTATACTTGGTCATACATAATGTACAATAACATTAAAACTATCTTACGAAACTTTTTATTACATTAAAATTCACACAATATATTATGGAAAATTGAATTATATTTATAAATATATACACAAGTTTGTGTACGTGGATCTACTTATGTTGAAATGTAAATTTTTGCCTTTTAAAAAAAGGCATTGATTCAAGTCGTCACTATAGATATATTTCCTCCTTCAAGAATAAAAATTAAATTCTGATGGATTGACGTACAAAAACATAATTATGCGTGTATTAAGGCCGTATGAAGCAATGAGAACCTTTTTTTTCCAACAAATATATACATCTCATCAGCGCCAATAGCTCGTTCGCGTGTTGTTCGCGATAAAAATTATATTCATTCATTTTTTGTGTTTCCTTTTAGCTTTCGATGAAATGTAGGTCGTGCGACACCTTAATGTCCAAACGCTAATAGCCGGCATGACCTCGTGAATGAACGGTAGACGAATTTTTTCGTATATTTTTACTCGCACTTTTACCAACCAGTAAACAGTTATTGATGACAACTTACGCGAATTTTTTTCCGCAGATGCCAGTCATTAACGTAATTAGTGATGAATTTTTTACTACAGATCATTTAGTTCTATACAATCGTACTTACTGTCGCTCATTATTATTTAGGTTCTAATATTCGTAATTATGCGTTTACGTATGATTCTTGTAGACTCATAAGAAATTTAATATTATGCACTTTAGAAAATGAAGTAAAGCATATATGTTACGAGATATTTTTTAACTAGTCGACGAAACGTAGAGTATGATATTTTCTAAAATAAATAAAACATAGTCATGCAAGACTCTCGTTTTATATCCGTAGTAGTATTTTTATAGAAATTTCTAAGTCCTTTTTGTACTTTTTTCGCTCTCCTTCGTTAATTGTTTATGTTTTTCTGTTCAAAGCTTGCTTACATCTGCCTACTGGCCCTTGTGGGCCTAGGTAGCTGCGTGGAGCTTCAAATGCCTTCACGTGAAGATATCGAGGGCTCAATCAATAGAACGATAGAGGAAGTCGAGAAACTGATGGAACAGAATCCCACCTTGCCAAGACTCAGTAGAAGCGAAATTGTGAATATCTTGTTTAACATTACGTCAAAGGATGTGGGATCTCTTGAGAACGAGGCGCTTGAGGCCATAAGAAAAACGAGAGAAGACTATCAACGTGCTCTTATGGTTGTGTTGCCGTACAAGCCTTCCGATGACGGGGAAAGTTTAACAGAATTGTACACAAAACCACCCATGGTACAAATCGTCCCTGACAACGTAACGGAATCACGACAGAATTTAGCAACCGAAGTTGCTCATAGTATCCATCATCAAGCTAGTAATTATTCACAATCAGTCAGAGTTGATGAAAATACTCACAAACTACTTACTGCTCATATGAGATTCGATGATCCTCAAAACTCAAAATTTCAAGATCAAATGAAAGTAAAGAACGTAGAGAAAACATCGATAATCACTTCTACCATCAGCACCACTACTACGACAACTACTGCGAGACCTACTAGCCACATCCAGAAAATAGACAATGCACCTCAAAAATTTGTCTTCAATTTAAACGTCAAAGATCAAAGAGTTGAAACATCTCACACATCAATCGCAACAAAACGGCCTGTATACAAAGGAACGTTTTCAAGATACAGGACTAGCTATAAACCACCTCCTAAGAAATTAGAAATTATTTACAGCAGTACAACGATAAATACACCGACTAAAATGACTGAAGTATTTAAAACTGAATCAACAACTACAAAAGTTAAACCTCCCATAAGTATCTTATCATCAGACCAATGGCATTATAATGCCCCTCCATTGACCACAACATTAAAAACAATATTGGAACTCGATGACTCTCCTTGGAAACCTATGGCACCTTCGAAAGGATTTTTTTTACCAACCATTGAAAGTCAATCTGATGATTCGCACGTATCTAACTTTGCAGATGTAAAGGTTGAAGATTTTGAAAAAGTTATGGAAACACATGATACAGAAAAACCACTAACTATTTTCGTGACACCTAGTACTATGACAAACCAGAAAAAAACTAATCATTTTGAAAATTTTCCTTCTGGATTTAAATTAACAACGACCACAACAACAACAACTGCTCCATCGTCAACTATGAGGCAAGAAGTGGAACAGTTATTGAAATCAATTGGTCTCCAGCCCATAAAGATGACAAAGCAAACAAATATTATCAAATCACATCAAAGTAACGTTGAAGCCCAAACGAATGAGAATATAATTGATAGCATTAAAGATTCAAATCTCGAAAAAGCTCCATCAGATTCATTGAAACTGGATAAAAATAATTCCTTTCAAGCAGCACAATCGAATGTTAAGAACTTATCACCAGATATACAATTACTGTTTCAAAAATTTGGATTACAGATGCCTGATCGTGTAAACACACCCATTTCAACAACAACACTGAAGCCCATCCCTGTGGTGAACGTTAATTCTTATACAAATTTTAAGCCTCTACCAACTTCTTCAGTCAAAGATGACGATTTTCGTAGTTTCCTAGCAAGGTTTGGATTGGGAGCCGGTGAAAACCGAAATAAAAAAGCGATGGAATCCAGGCAAATTACTAAGAGACCATCATTGTTGGATGTTATACCCAATAACATGAGAAAAGTCTTAGAGAACATTGGTCTGATAAAAAAATCACCAAGGGTTGTAAAAGATACTACTATAGAATCTAAAATGGAGATGGATGCATCAAAAATAGTTGCACATACCACACCTCTAAATGAACACATTTCCAAGCCTCATGAGGGTGTGGTTCTCGTCGATGACTCCTCGCAGAAGGAGAAAATTAAAAATCTACTCACAACTGTACGCATGGTGCAAGAAGGAAAAGCCGACGTACAAGATGTTCAAAAAGTAGCTCGCGAACTACTTCAAAGCACTAAAACATTAGCAGAAGGACCCGATCTGCTTAAGTTGGAGGAAATCCTTAACAGTTATAAAAATAGTTTGAAAAACGAAGTCAAGAGACAACAGGACCAGACCACAACTACATCTGCGCCGATCGTGAAAGAATCAAACGAACCAACACTACCCTCTATCAACAATACTGGTATAAAAAAGTTTATGATTAATCTTTTGGGTTCTTCTGAGCTTTGGGTTCAGACGATGATTCGGGGACTTACGAAGATGAAAGGCTATTTCACCTCCACAAATAATCACAGGCAATCAGCTAGCCATTGATTGTTAACTAACTGCTAACCAAATTCTGCTAACTCGATGCCTACCATTGCTCATTGATTCCATCTACGCTCTTTCTATGATATCTTCATTTTGAAGGATAACCCTCGCTGCATGCTTTTTCTTCATTCTTCATTAACACTCGTAAGTGTGCTTAATAATGGCTCTTTGTTTTAAGCTGGTACTATCGATTCTTTAAAAAAAACAACTTATTTCTAACTTTTGGATCAAATCTTCATTATGATGATGAGCGTCAATATCTCATGTTATCTATTTGTTAGTTTATTAATTCAGATGTTACATTACATGACATTGAGTCTTCTTCACTTAGCTTATATTTATATTTATGACTAGATAGCAATTGAAGTCTAATTCTTAGCAATATGATTTAAAAAATCCATCTATCTACCATCTAACTTATGCAAGAAAATAAAATATACAAAAAACAGTATTCATAGTAAATTACATTGATGCAAATATAAGTTTCATCGTTTATGCAAATTTCATTGGTATCTATAGATCTCTTCATAATAATAACACAAAAAAATGTATTTTTAGTTAATTATTAACACGCTAAATGCCTGTTTTGATGTTTTTTTTTTTTAATTATGAAGAAAAACTCGAATCTTCATATGATAAAAACCATACTGAATATGATGCGCAAAAACTTTCACCCTTCGTCGTTTAACCAGTGCTCGTGGAACGCATCATATTCGAATGGTTGCTTGTCGTCAGTTGGTATGCAAGTAAGCGGAACGTATACAATCAGTTTGTGTTGTAGATATCACACTCGAGTATGTAAAATTTATGGAGACGACTTGATGTATAATGAGCGAGAGGACAAATAACCTGTTACTCGTGGATGCATTTAATTCTATGTTGGAGAAAAAAGACTTTCGTTTTCAACAAAAAAAAATCTTAAATTAAAATTCCGAGACGACGGAATTCTTTTTTTTTTCTATGATGGAATATGTTACAATATATACTTACAATTAGTTACAAAAATAATGACAATTTTTTTAAAACATTTGAAACAAATTAATTTGCTGAGTGAAAGTCATGAACGATGTCTTTTTCAGAGTCATTAACTCCAAATGATGAAAGTGACGAGTCCAAGAAAACCGATCAGTCATCCTCATCTTCAACGACAGATGAAAAAGCTGCAAATCCTTCGATCCTTACTTCCTTAGACATATCTGATGTTGTTAATAAAACTAGTAACTCAACTTCTAGTACTTCTGACACACCTTCAGGAACTGAATCCACCACGAAATCTAATAGTTTTTTCGATAATTTTAATTTGGACGATTATACAACGACTGAAGATTCGGCTAAAAATTCAAACGTTAATCTTAGTGATCTTGAAGATTCATTTGGCGGAAGTACATCTGAACCAGATCCTGTGTTACCAACTCGACCAAAAACTGGGTTCTACTTTCTGGTGGATTGGAATTCATTTTTAGAGGTCGGGGAAGATGGAAAAGATAAAGTTAGTTTGAGATTTGCTCCAAAAGTTGGTGACAGAACAAGATTTATACCTGTCAAAATACCCTAGAGGTTGTTTTATCGTATCACATCACCTAGTAAAAAATAAACATTATATGATAGTTTCAAGACGTTTTATAATGAGAAATGCTGCTTATGTAGCAAAGTAAAAAAAATTTCAATTGGATTAATTAAGCTTTATACTTTGAATCGTTATTAAAAAAAAAAATTGAAGTTCATTTCACATTAAAAAATATGTACTATAAAGACAATTCTCTTTTTCGTAGAATTTACTATGCAAAATAGGGACTATTATATCTATTGTATAACAAATAGATGGAATTTTTTTGTAAGTTTTGTAGTTTAATTTGTAAGTTAACTAGTGAAGCCATAAGTGTTTTTCAGTTTAAGTACAACACTAGCTATAAAATTATATGTATGAAAATCGTATAACGTATCAAAAAGGCAGATTATTATATTAAAAATGTATATCTATTTTAATGTTTTTAACTAATTATAAG